TTAGTCACAAAGAGAAAAGCAGAAATGCCTGGATAACCAAAGGATTAATAACATCGGCAATAGAAAAAGAAAGACTATATAATGTAATGAAACTAACGCCAACTACAGAGAATACCGACTGTTACAACCAATATAAAAATAAATTTATAGAGCTTGCAAGGGAAACCAAACGAAAACATTACCTAAATAAATTGAATAATAACTTAAATGATCCTAAGCGGCTTTGGACAACTATTGATGAGATTACTGGGAAAACAAAATTTAAAGAGTGTGTCACTGAGTTCAATACAACATCGAGAACAGTATTAAAAAATACTCAACAGATATGCGTTGAATTTCTACAATTCTTTACTGACATAGGCGAAAATTTAGCAAGTAATATACAAGCAAATGTACAAAATACTCAGCCTCCAAAAAGAACTTTGAACTCATTTATTTTGGATAAAGTCGAAAATGTGAAGAATACACCACTGTTATGTCCTTAAAAAATCGGAAAAGTCCTGGGTTCGATGGTATTAAAAGCGAGCATTTGAAAATTATAGCCGAGGACATAACTGAACCACTCACTTACCTAATCAACAAATGCTTTGAATCTGGCATATATCCCTCAATTTTAAAAAAAAGGTAATATAATACCGATACATAAATCAGTAACAAAAACAGATGTTAACAACTATAGACCAATATCAATGATATCCAGTGTAGCAAAGGTTTTTGAAAAAGTTTTATCTACTAGAATCATTCGATACCTCACAAAATTCAAAATTTTAAGTGAAAATCGATATGGATTTACAGAAGGGAAGGCTACATCGGACGCAATAACTAAAATTGTAAATCAAATACATCAAAATATTGATAACAGAATCCCTTCAATCTGCATTTTTGTTGATTTAAAGAAAGCTTTCGATACAGTTAATCACAAATTATTATTAGAAACATTGGAGAGAATTGGTTTCAGAGGAAACGCGTACTCACTGATCGAAAATTATTTGTCAAATCGCCCACAATCTGTGCAGATATCAGGATCATTTAGTAAAGAAATGAATATTAAGTGTGGTGTCCCACAAGGAACTGTCTTAAGTCCGCTGTTATTCAATATATATTTAAATGATATTTTCCAAATTAATTGTGTTTATTTATTTATATACAGTTTGGGGTGTTAACAGGTAAACCCAACACACACCCTCAGTGAACTAAAACTAAACTTACATAAAATATCGTATACATATACATATATTACATTATTGAATACTTCAATATTAATATTTTTTTATCGTCCGATATTGTTGTAACAACATAAACTGAGTGAGTAGTTCTAATTATAAGCAATTAACTATTAATTTAACTTTTTTAATAAAAGGAGTATACATAATTTAACATTTACTTACGTTTAATTAAAACTGAAATCAAAATTAAATTGAAATTATACCAGAAATGATATTGGAGGTGATAACTTGAGTTATGTAAAAAAATAAAACATTTCTATTTTAGTGTGCCATAGAGTTGTAATACTCATACTTTAAAGCCTTTTTCAGGGAGGTCAAGCTAATGTTAAATAAATCTATATTACAGAAATTATTATGATTTTTTTGAGCCCTGAACAAAGGGGAATTAAGACCAAGATTGGTTCTACGGAACGGTATTCTAAACAGATGATAGGTTCTAAACGTTCTATCAGGAGAGTTAAAGTTCAAGTTTGCCAAAAGATCCGGACAGTCAGTGAGGCCATTCAAAAATTTATGGACACAGCAAATGTCAGAAATCGTTCTTCTATCTTTTAAGGAAATCATATTGAACTGTTTCATAATTTGCGTATAATGATGATCTGTAACAGGTTGGTGAGTTTTATGTGCTAACATCTTCAAAAATTTGTGTTGAATTCTTTCTATCCTGACTATATGTACATTGTAAGACGGATTCCATATTACTGATGCAAACATCAGTTTGTTGTGTATATAAGCGTAGCACAATGAAAGAAGCGTTTTTGGGTTCGTAAATTCTCTGCATGTCCTGTTTATGAACCCTAGTGTTCTATTTGCATCATTTACGATGTGCTCTACGTGGGTGATGAATGAGAGTTTCTCATCAATATATACCCCTAGGTCTTTTACTACATGAAGCTTTTCCAGTTCTGCCGTCCCTATCTTATATCTGAAATCTATAGTGTTCGCTATGTTTCTAGTAAGCCTCATGTAATGACATTTTGTTAAATTCAGGAAGATACTGTTTTCAGTGCAATACTTTTGCAGAGATTCCAAATCGCTTTGAAGTTTTACACCGTCATTTACATTTCTAACAATAGTAAATATCTTTAGAGAGTCTGAAGAGGGAGCTGATATTTCGAATATAACTGAAGAAGATTCTGTAAAAAACGGTGGTCCATATTTTTTGGGAAAGGATAAAGAAACTAAATGGAGTAAAAACAAACCACCAACGTCAAGAACAAAGGCTCATAATCTTATATTGAAGGTTCCAGGGCCAGTAGGCAACGCAAAAAACGCCACATCCTCGATGGACTGTCTTAGCCAATTTATTGATGATTCAATTATTGAAATCGTTGTGAAATGTACCAATCTATACACTGCAAAGATTCAAGCAAATTTCGATAGAGAACGTGATGCTAGATTGACTGACGTATGTGAGATAAGATCTTTTATAGGAATACTTTGTTTGGCGGGATCTTTGAAATCTGGGAGGCAGAATATACAGACATTATGGAACACAAATGGCAATGGAATTAAAAACAAATATATAACAATGAGTTATAATCGCTTCAGATTCCTGTGTAGAAGTATCAGATTTGATGATGTAAATACTATGGAAGATCGACGTATGTATGACAAACTGGCAGCGACTAGGGACATTTTTCAGCGATTTGTGAACAATTGCCAGTCTTCAGTGATACCAAGCGCTTTTCTAACCATCGATGAACAACTGGTTGCCTTTCGAGGAAGATGCGCCTTCAGGCAATATATACCTAATAATCCCAGCAAATATGGAATCAAAATATTTGCATTGGTCGATGTCAAAGCCATGTATACATACAGGTTAGAAATATATGCGGGTAAACAACCGAACGGGCCGTATGGTTTGAGTAACAGTCCTGGAGATGTCGTAAAAAGGTTAGTTGAGCCTCTAGAAGGTACAGGTCGTAACATTACAATGGATAATTGGTTTTCCAGTGTACCTCTTGCTAGGGACTTATTGAAAGATAAATTGACTATGGTTGGTACGCTCAGGAAAACTAAAAGAGAGATTCCATTAGAATTCACACAGACTGCTTCTAGACCAGAACAGAGTAGTATGTTTGCCTTTCAATCAGATCTTACCTTGCTGTCTTACGTTCCAAAAAAAGGCAAAAATGTATAGCTGATTTCATCAATGCACCACGATGACGAGGTTGATAGGGAATGCTTGAAACCTGAAATAATCCTGGAATACAACAGAACTAAATCTGGAGTGGATGTCGTAGACAAACTTTGTGCCCAGTATGACGTGGCTAGAAATAGCCGACGTTGGCCTCTGACAGTTTTCTTTGACATTCTAAATATTGCTGGTATCAACGCACTTTGTCTATTTACTATGAACAATAATTTTGAAAAACCAAACAGAGTTAGTACGGCCACAAATAATGAAAAGAATATATATGGATAATATCCCAAGAAATATAAAGAAAAGGGCTATCGCTTTACTGAACATTGAGGAAACTACTCTAGCAACAGACAAGGCTACTACAAAGAAACAAAAACTTGGAAAGGGTAGGTGCTATTTATGTCCCAGATCAGCTGATAGAAAAACGCCAATTTACATGCGTAAAATGTGTTGAGTGGATATGTAAAATTCATCAAAATTTCGTATGCCGTAATTGCCTTGATAGCAGAGAAATAGAAACCAATTGTGACAGCGAATAGATGCTTTTGCCATATTGTACCTTCAGAGATCTGATTTGTTAGTTAGGATTTTATATAAATATTATGTTAGCATTTCTTTCGTAAGAGAATATTTTTTGTTCTGTTATAAAAGCATTTAGAAAAATTGTGTGAATGTATTTTTCAAAGCAAAGCTCCAACTATTGTTTTATTTAAATTAAAAAACACAAAAACAGGTTGGGGTACCTCAGTACCCCATGCGAGTACCTACGTGATTTTCCCCGCGCGAGTACTGGAAGGTTAAAAAGTATGCGTTCTTTCTGACGGACCTTGTACCTTTCTGCCTCCAAATCCAGCTTAGAGGTTTGTAGGTCATCGTGGCAATGGCTCATTTAGTGAAGCTCCTCAAACGTAGAATTTTCTCGACAGCCTGTACACAAGTACACTGTAATCGTTTCTGCATCCAGTTGAAAGCGTTTTCCAACGTTACTGTGTTCAACAGGCATCGCCAAAGTACGGAGATTATTAACATTGCCCCAGCAGAGGTGAATTCTCTGAGACGGAAGTCTCTTTTATACATAAATGTGCAAAGTTGGAGGATATTCAGGAACTTTGCCGGGCCGGTAGTGAGCAGGTGTAAAACTTCTCTCTCTGCACCGCAGTAGGGATCACTCGAAACAGACTTAAGCTTAAGACTTTAGTTATCTTATAGTTATAACATTATAATGAAAAATTAATAGTTTAAAAAACACGCTTTTATAGCTAACCGAAATATAAGTAGAAATTTTTTTTATTAACAAAGGGTTCGTATTAACAATCAATCATGACCCCTGGCTTACAAGACCAGTGCTCTGCCACTGAGCTACACAGGCTTGTATTCGTAAATCGTTATTTGAAATCCATGGTTTTTTATTAACACATCTGCTATCTACATAATTTTACTTATGAATAAGGATAATGGAAAACTGTTATTAAATTTTTTCTCATCGGTCCTTGATACGTGTGCGAAATTTCAAATTAATCAAATTTCCGCCTGGATGTATGTATGTAACGATTCCGATACATACATACATACAGGACAAGCTAATAGAAGCGTGTAAAAAATATATAAAAAAAAGTTACACCACAATCCGCCTCCTGTGAGGATTGAACTTGAACTCACGACCCCTGGCTTACAAGACCAGTGCTCTGCCACTGAGCTACACAGGCTTGTATTCGTAAGGCGGTATTTGAAATCCATGGCTTTCTATTAACATATCTGCTATCTACAGAACTTTACTTATGAATAAGGATAATGGAAAACTGTTATTAAATTTTTTCACATCGGTCCTTGATACGTGTGCAAAATTTCAAATTAATCAAACTTCCGCCTCGATGTATGTATGTAACGATTCCGATACATACATACATACAGGACAAGCTAATAAGAGCGTGTAAAAAATATAAAAAAAGGGAAACCACAATCCGCCTCCTGTGAGGATTGAACTCACGACCCCTGGCTTACAAGACTAGTGCTCTGCCACTGAGCTACACAGGGTTGTATTCGTAACGCGGTATTTGAAATCCATTGCTTTTTATTAACATATCTGCTATTTACAGAATTTTACTTAAAATAAGGATAATGGAAAACTGTTATTAAATTTGTTCTCATCGGTCCTTGATACGTGTGCGAAGTTTCAAATTAATCAAACTTCCGCCTGGATGTATGTATGTAACGATTCCGATACATACATACATACAGGACAAGCTAATAAGAGCGTGTAAAAAATAAAAAAAAGGTACACCACAATCCGCCTCCTGTGAGGATTGAACTCACGACCCCTGGCTTACAAGACCAGTGCTGCCACTGAGCTACACAGGCTTGTATTCGTAAGGCGGTATTTGAAATCCATGGCTTTTTATTAACATATCTGCTATCTACAGAATTTTACTTATGAATAAGGATAATGGAAAACTGTTATTAAATTTTTTCTCATCGGTCCTTGATACGTCTGCGAAATTTCAAATTAATGAAACTTCCGCCTGGATGTATGTATGTAACCATTCCGATACATACATACATACAGGATAAGCTAATAAGAGCGTGTAAAAAATATAAAAAAAGGTACACCACAATCCGCCTCCTCTGAGGATTGAACTCACGACCCCTGACTTACAAGACCAGTGCTCTGCCACTGAGCTACACAGGCTTGTATTCGTAAGGCGGTATTTGAAATCCATGGCTTTTTATTAACATATCTGCTATCTACAGAACTTTACTTATGAATAAGGATAATGAAAACTGTTATTAAATTTTTTCTCATCGGTCCTTGATACGTGTGCGAAATTTCAAATTAATCAAACTTCCGCCTCGATGTATGTATGTAACGATTTCGATACATACATACATACAGGACAAGCTAAAAAGAGCGTGTAAAAAATATAAAAAAAGGTACACCACAATCCGCCTCCTGTGAGGATTGAACTCACGACCCCTGGCTTACAAGACCAGTGCTCTACCACTGAGCTACGCAGGCTTGTATTCGTAAGGCGGTATTTGAAATCCATGGCTTTCTATTAACATATCTGCTAGTTACAGAATTTTACTTATGAATAAGGATAATGGAAAACTGTTATTAAATTTTTTCTCATCGGTCCTTGATACGTGTGCGAAGTTTCAAATTCATTCATTAAGACATTACGATACCCAACCCAGTTTCAAAGTATTGTCACTAGGATATCTGCTTTCTAGTTTGGCGCGAAGTATTCTATATAAAACCCTAGTAGCATCTTCTAGTATCACAAAGCAAGGGTTAATCAGTTTGGCAAAGTTAACAGCTCTTCACACAGCTAATAAGCACAAAACACTGTTTGAGCGTGGTTTCAAAGAACTATCCATGGCATCTCGGCAAAGAAAACTTCCACAGAAGGATCGCTGAGGGCATTATATTCTTTCACGTCAGGAATAATGAAGGCGAATCCCTTAATCAGTACATCGTTGCTTTCGCGACTCTCGAACTCATTAAAAGTTTTCGCCAGCGATTCTGGGTCATCCTTTACGTTGGTAATACAAGGGATCGTTCAGAGAAAAAATCCTGTTTCTCAGAAACTGATTGTGAGTCGCATGTAACGAGATGCATCCTTATTGTTCCAAGAAAGGTTTAATCTGGTTTGAGGATCTTAATGTACGTATTGTCCAATAATTTTTATACTTGTATTGATACTCGAGGTTAAGGTGTTGTCATGGTAGGTTGACTTACGTTACTGGATCACCCTGTATTGTATGACTTTAGAAAAAAGGACGTCCCCTAGAAATCAAAATTGACGTTTCCGAGCGTTTTTTCCAAAACATACCAGCAGACTCATAAATGGTGGTGCGACCCTTTCGTTGGGCCACCCTGTATAATGGATATGATAAAATATCAGTGCTTGAGCTCTTTCGGACTAAAAGGCTATTTCTCTATTTTTATGAACTAATCTGATCATTTAAGCGCTTGTTTTCAAATATACCTAAGACTTCAGTCAGTTTAACCAATTAATCGTTGATCATTAAATCTGACAACATTGTCTCAAAAATATCACTATAGAGTACTAGAAAGCTATTCTAATTACTTGGTCTTAATGTACATAGTACGAGAGATGTCTTTTAAGTTTTGCATATGGTTGAATTTAGGTTTACTAAAGAGTGAGGTTAAGATTCAGTACTGACGTTCGATCCGCGCGGCCTACTATGTTTCTATATGCAAAACTTAAAAGACATCCCTCGTATAACAATACAAGACTGAGAACCAGAATTTTGAAAAATCGATCGCTCAGGCTCAGAAATCAACAGTATCTCATTGGAATAATAAAGACCTAACCCCTAAAACGCTACTAGATCTTATCTGGATTATATCGTACGTCAGCGCTATTCGGATATGGAACCAATAACGACACGAAAACTGTCATACGTTAAAGTTATAGGGACACCTTCTGACAGTAATCGATTTTCAGATCGGAATATGAATGTACAATATACATTCATATATGTATAAAAATCCGGAAGTGCCAATCCGATGTCGAACCCGTCTTCTAGAATCATTCGGGACGTAAGCCGGTACCTCCTGAGGAAATCGAATTTCTCTTATAATCTCTGGGGGCAACGATAAATGTAAACATATATTCGCGATATGTTCTTGTACCTATCCAATTGGAATGGCGAGCGAACGAGAAGAAAATTTCCAGAGTTTCATTTAAAATATGTGGACAATAAATAAAAAAGGGTCGATAAAGCGATTGAAGGAGGATGCAGAGGTATGTTCGTACATACTGAAGATGTTACCACAGCTGACGTCAACTACGAGCCGTGAACAAAGAAATCTGGCAACGTAGGTGGTAGCGTTACTCCCGCCGCTGCTTGCTGCATCGACGCAACTCGTGCTCAAAACGCAGAGAAAACATAACCTTTTCAATTAAGAGATAAGCTTGTCTTCTAAGCTTCAAAGTGTGTGTATGTGTTCAAAGTGATCGGTGACTATAATATATGAGAAATAGACTCCAGTTGTAGTGCTTCTGTGCTTTAAAAATAAACTAAGAAGTGTGACTGTGGCTGTTCGCGCCTCAGGACGCTAAGGATTTCAACTATTGAAAACGTGCAAATTCAGGTTGTGATTTTCTTTTTTCATTTATGAAGTATTTGATGCAGACAATATGCCTCGTTGTTGCTGTGTTCCTTTATGCAATGCAAACTATAATTCCGCTTTAAAAACAGAAAGCTGTGTTTCAACTTTTCGCTTCCCAAGTACGGAAAGTCTGAAAAACAAATGGCTTATGGCAATTCCCAGAAAAAATTGGACACCTTCAAAATATTCAGCTGTGTGCAGTCGTCATTTTAGAGAATCGGATATCATCAGGACAGAAAATATAGTTTTGGCGGATGGAACAGTCCAAAATAATATACCTTTGAAATATCCAAAATTGAAAGAAAATGCTGTTCCCTCCATTTTCCCAAACTTGCCATCATATCTTTCAAAAACTGAAGCACCCAAAAGAACTGACCCAATGCAAAGAAAACAAAAATTAATTGAGAAACATGAAAAAGCTATCCAGAATTTCGATGATATGGATAAGATCAAAGACTTTCAAGAATTACATTCTTCATTTTCAAAAATTAAAGCCTCACAGAAATGGAATAATAAATTATATGATGGAAAGCTATATTTTTATAAATTGGATTTTGAAAATGATATCTTAACTTTGAATACACAGATTATAGTTGATGGTCAGATGGAAGTTCACGTTGTTTATAAAGGATGTAAGCTTTCTTTTAGTGACTTGAAGTGGGTTTTTGCCATATGATCTCAAAATTACCAGATGGTCCCAATTGGAAAACCTGCTAAATAGGTATAAGTAGTTAAGAGAGCATATAAATTAAATTATAAAACATTGCATCCAAATTCATTTGAAAGGCAAAATGTAAATTTTGTAGATAATTTATTCCATCACTCAACAATAGCTGCTATGAAAGAATTAAAGTTTAATGATGCTGCACACTTTTTGGAAATAATCAGGAATTGGTGGGATATTGTCAGTAATGCAAGTGTAATAAAAGGAGAATTGAAGCGAAACGAATTTTGTAAGCCTATTACCAATAAATATGATTATAGAGTACAATTTTTAAAAAAATGCAATTACAATGTGTCATATGATGAAATTTTAAATGCTGAAACGAAAATACGGCTGAAGCATATTTTCAATGAAAAGAAATCGTCATTTTCTTTAGCAGAAATTAAAACAAGGTTCCAAAACTGCTTAGAAACTCAAGAAAATTTTGATTTCTTGGATACCAAACAAATTCCTGAAGTTTTGGATATATTCAATGAAGTATTTGAGACAAATTACTTAGCCAATTGTGACATAGAAGATAGTACTAAGACTTATATATCTGGATATGCTTCACACGCTATCTCTAAAAACCTAAACTGCGAGATATGCAAATCGCTAATAGTTAAAGAAAAAGGTTCATTAACAACAAATGTTTATTTTGATCATTTGCAAAGAGGAGGACTGTCAATTCCAACCAGTTATGTACCAATCATATTCTACCATATGTATGCCATTTTTGAATCTATTATTAATGTAGATAGATTGGAAATTTTCTTCTAGAAAAGCAATAATCAAAAATTTATTTTGTGTCAGTTAACCTTGCTCAGCATTCAGTCTGACTTTATATACAGTGAATTTTCTTTAACTTGCATCTGTGGCCGCAATTATGCAGATATTTTATCTAACCTTTTGTCTATTTTTTCAAACATAATTTTGAATGATTATGTAAAATTGAAAAATAACAGTAAAACTGAAAGTAAATGTATTAAAAACAAACAGGTAACTCCACATTTCCAAGCTGGGCCTGTTGGAACACAGTGTGCTGACACCAAAAAACGTAAACTAAATACTTTTGATTAGGTTAACTGCATTAGCGTCTCATATATATCACGAATATTTCGTATTTTTAAATTTTTTAGAGCTATTTCATATTCAGACGATTTGTATCGAATCGAACTGTCCTCTTTTCCAAAATTAAATTTAGTTCTTGAACGTTAAACGGAGACGTAGCACAGAGCCGCTGGCGGCCGACGTTCACAGGTAGCACTACCATGCCGTCCGAGCGCGGTGTTGCCTTTCTTTCATCACGGCTCGTAGTTGACGTCGGCTGTGATGTTACTTCCCTCGACAACGGCAAGCAAGTATTGTAATCGCAAAACATTCCAAATGGAGATGCTATATTTTTTTATGCCATATGACATTTACACCCAGAAATACCGTGTTACTCATTTCCGTCTGCCTGGTCTCTACCTGTCTATCTTTGTTATTTGACTTTTCAGGTACTCTTGATCTTTTATA